GTAAGTGATTGTGGTAGCCATTTTTACAACAAGATGATCACGGCAGTTTTTAGGAGGTACGGTGTCTTACATAAAATCTCCATATCCTACCATTCTCAAACAAACGATCAGGCGGAAGCATCGAACCGAAAGATCAAGTCGATTCTAGAGAAAATAGTCCGACCCGATAGGAAGGATTGGAGTATAAGACTAGAAGATGCATTATGGACATATAGGACGGCGTACAAGACACCCATTGACATGTCCCCTTATCGGTTAGTATTTGGGAAGTCATGTCACCTCCCGGTCGAGTTCGAGTATAGAGCATTTTGGGTGGTCAAGCAATGTAATATAGACATCGAGGAGGGCGAAATTCAAAGGAAATTGTAGTTACATGAGTTGGAGGAAATTCGAAATGAAACATACGAGAATGTTGTGATCTATAAGGAGAAAAACAAGATCTCTCATGACTAACAGATCTCCAGGAAGAAGTTCGTCTGTGGGCTAAAAGTTCTACTGTACCACTCGAAATTGAAGTTATTTTCAGGTAAATTTCGTTCTCGTTGGATCTGTTCTTTTATTGTGACTAATGTCTTTCACTATGTTGTACTGGAGATCAAAAGCTTGAACATGGAGAAGAAATTTGTGGTGAATGGTCATCGTCTCAAGCCATATTATAAAGGATTTCTAGTGGAACGGGTGGAGATGATACAACTGAAAGACCCGACTTGCTTAGTTTAAGCAAATTCTGGATTACGTCTAGGCAAAGAAGTTAAAGAAAGGCGCTTTTGGGAGGCAACCCAAATATTGGTTTTGTTATTTTTTGTTGTTCAATTCTTTAAATATATCATTTCTCACTTGGGTGCTGATTAATCTTGATATGTTCCTCCACTGTGACCAAGACAGGTATTCTTCGCATGCCCACTCAAGAAGGACACGCGTTAATCATATAAACCCCAACCTTATGGTCAGTGGACGTTTACCAATCTTGGCGTGGCCACGCCATGTTGGTAAAACTTCAGCATCTCGCGATGTTGGCAGAAAGTGGAATCTTGGGGTATCCATGCGAGGAGGGCACGCGTTAAATTGCGAAAAGTGACTCCCAAGATCAGTGGACGTTTTACAATCTTGGCGTACTCACGCCGTGTTTGACGATCCAAAAAAAAATTAATAACATTATTTTTCGTTTTAACCTTCAGTTGTTTTGTTCGAATTTTAAAATTTTAATTCAATTCGAAAAGAAAAAAAGACCCCCACAAACCATTTTTTTTCCTCTTCTTTCTTTTTCTTCCTTTCTTCCCCTCTTCTTTCTTTCTTCTTCTCCATTTTTTTGTCTTCTCCAGTCGAAATCCCTAGTCGCCGCCGCTGTCTATCGTCTCTCTCTCTCAATCTCACTCTCAACCGCGCCACCCATCACGTGTGACGCCTCCCTCCTCCTCCCTTTCCTCGTGCGTCGCCTCCACCTGGGTGCGCCGCGCTCTTCCCCTCTCCCTCTTTCAGCCCACAGTCGCACGACATCCTCCACAGCCACACGATGTGAACGCCTCTCTCCCTCTCAACCAAGCGTCGCCCCTCCAGCCACCATCTTCCCTCGCGACTGTCGAGTTCAGCACTCCACCGCCGCCAACGCTCACGCCAGCAAGCGACCCCAGCCACTGTCACGCGGCCACCGTTTGTTTCTGCCACCACGCCGTCGCAACCTGTCAATTCTTGACAGGTGGAAGTATTGAGGTTTCTACATCATTAGTTAATTTTTTGGATATTTTATTTCTGGAATTTGTTGCTACATTCTTAATTGGCCGAACTACATTGCACTAGTGGGGGTGATTTACTTGATTTTTAACGGGTTTGTTCGTTTGGGACTTCTATTGCTCCATTGGGGTTGATATTTTCTGGAACCTCTGACAGTTATTTTATTTGGGAGTTATTTGAAGTTAATTTGGGTGTTTGCTGATTCTATTGGGGCGTTTGTTGCGATTTTGGGTTGGGAATTTGTTTGCTGATTCTTTTTCACCTTTTGTTGCGATTTCCAAAAGGATTTTGTTGCTGATTTAATTTTTTTTATAACCTCTGCCATTATTAAAACTGCTATTTTATTGGGACGTTTGCTGGTTTGATAGTCTGATAATGTGCACATTTCATTATCATCTTGGACGACCCTATTTTTGTCAAGTGTTTATTGGCTTTGTTGGAGATATCTGCCATCCCTGTGTTTTACTCATTTATTCAACGTTTTCTACTTCTCTGTTGCCCTCTATCGGATATTGGAATTTCTGTTGGTTGGCTAGTAGTGACCATGGTACGATCCAAATCCTCTTCTAGTTCTAGGACACCTAGAACCCCTCAGCCTCCCCCACCACAGCCCACCATTCCCGTTTCTGACCTCTCGCACGACCCTCTTCCTTTGGGAGGAGGGCTCGCCTTGGGAAGTAAAGAGGCATCCATATTTCTGACTCTTCACATTTTGGGGGTAATTTGAATTTCACCAAAGCTGTCGACAAGCAGCGATATGATGTATGCTGAGTACGGCAGATTACTCCCTGTCGAAATTGGGACGCCGCCTCTTTGGATCTTCTGAATATTAGGGTTGACTTTGATCGCTTGATCCGAGCCATTGGGTGGCATCACTACACTTATATTGTTGACTGTTCGGCATTTATTGAGTTGGTTAGGAAGTTTTATGTCACATTCGAGTTCGACCTTCCCACCGATTATGCAGTCTCTATCTCCAACGTCATCCGTTTTCGCTTAATAGGTCAAGAGTTCCAACTCTCCATCACTGATTTTAATTTAGCCTTTGGTTTTATTGATCAGGTCAATGCCGAATCTCGTGAATATGTCGAGAGCTCTTGTGACTATGTAGAACCCTTCTTCTCCTGCTATCGATATATTTGGGAGGATATGTCCGTAGACCGTACTGAATACGACCCTCGTCTCGCTCTATCCAGCGTTTTTTGGCCTATAGTTTCTCGGGTAGGTGAGATAGTTCGCGCATTTTGTCTAAATCAGAATTTTTCTTCATTTGGTGCATGCACAACAACATTAAGGTTAATTTGGGGTGCTAGCTCGCTTCTCAATTCAAATATGTTTTGACTAAACAGAAACGCCCCTTGATTCTTGGGCCTTACATTACCCATTTGACTATTAATTTGCATGCACTTAATCTCTCTAACCATGATTTGCATGTAGCCTGTTAAATGGAGCGCTTAGACATTCCTTGCCTTGAGAAAATGGGCTTGGTTCGGGAGGGTGACAACGGGTGGAAGGTTACTCCCCCGGGACCGACTCGTGTCCCCCCTCGTTCCTCTTTTGCCCGTTCCTCCACTACTGGCGGTGACCCGGCCCGTTTACCTCAGTTCCACCCCTAGGTGCTGATGACTGGAACGAGCTCCGGGCGCAGGTTAACTTTTTGGATACGTGGGTGACTAATGTTGAGGCCAATGTGGCTAACATTGCCCAGAATCTGGCAGCCTTTATGCAGTACGCGGGTTTTCCTCCTCCTTTTGTGCCTTGCCCACCGATGTGACCCCGACACGGTTCCCGTGATTTCAGGGAAGTTTTGTTGCCCTTCTCCTTGCTTTTGCTGTTTATTTGTTACATTGATATCAATGTGTCCTTTAGGTGTAGGGGGGGATCAGCTGTGGTGCTAGTTTTTCTAGTTTTTAGCTTTCAGATATTTTCCTTTTACTTTTAGTTTGTTATTTATCTAGTTTTCGTTTACTCTTTTTTAGTGATCAACTCTCCTATGACTGTCAAGGTTTGATATTGGATTGTGACTCTAATTCTTCTATTGCCGAATTTTAGTAACAAAAGTGTATCTAGCTAATGTGGTTAAATCCAAGAACATCTCTTTGGTGAATATCGGTGATTGCTTAACTCTTATGATTTTCGGTTAACTTTTCTAGGTATAGAGAATGATTGTTGGCATTTTCATGTGAATTGGTTCGGTTATTAACTTTAGAGGTCTCCATGTTTGAAGAAATGAGGCTAGCGGCTGCTGTTTTTGTTTTCTTTTGCTGTGTTATTTTGAGTTATTGTGTTATCTGGCTTTAAATGAAAGTTGACTGTGCTTTGCTAGTTGTCACTATTGAGTAACCGGAGATTTTCACCTAAAGTGTCGATTCTCGCGTCAAAAAGTAGTAATTTTTATGAGTACGTGGTCTCATAACGACCGGAGCTGAGTAACCGAGCTCCTCCATCTGGCAAATATTAGAATTCGCGTCAAAAGTCTCTAATGGTTAAAGACGAAGTCTTTTGTGACTATCGAAAAAAAAAGAGAAAAAAAAGGAGAAAAATAGAAAACCATGATAAAAAGGTGAAGATTGTGATATGTGTGAAAAAAAAGTCAGCTTGCCCATTTGTGAATTTAATGTTGAGATTTTGGTCAATAGTTGGATCATTTGCTGGTAATGTTGAGCGACCATTCCTTTTTTTTAGATTAATTAACCTGAAATTGGAGGAGTTTATGGTTTCAAAGTTAATCGAGGTGATGTTTCTTGGATCTTGGTCACTGATGCTTGATATATATTTTTCTTGGTATCTTGGTAATATGATAGATGGAGCAATACCCATTGTCGAATACTGGTGTTTGTTTGTCGTCCCCATACTTGAGGACAAGCATGATTTAGGTGTGGGGAGAATTGATAGGGTGTTGATTGTTGATAATTTTATTGTTAATTTTCTCCTTTGTCCTTGCCAAATATTGTTTTAAAGGAAAAGAGTCTCGATGGCCCTCTAACTCTTACCCAAGTAAAGTTTTAGCCCTCAAACAATTAATGCTAAAGTTTTGACCCTCGATCTAATAAAATAATATATTCGTGGCCCTTCTATCAAATCCAGCAGTTGAAATTAACGGAAAGCATCATCTTGTGAGATGCACGACCAAATATCAAGGATATTATAGTCTCTAAGCAAAGAAATGAGTTTTCCCTGCAACAATTTCCATCACTTTTGCTCCAAAACCCTAGCACCAGCTAAAGAAACAGGTCACAATGATAGCATCCCAGTTGAAGATGATGTAGATGAGCCTGGAGACTGCTGGGGTTGGGCCTGCTGCTGTTGATCAGGGTGCCTTCTCTGTACATAGTATCCTCTACTGGGAGCAGATGCAACTGAATTGGTACCAGCAGAATTTGGGGACTGAGACTGCATATAAGGATTTGAGAAAAAGAGTTGAGCTTGCTGCAAGTTCTTTGTTAGTGGTGAGGGCAGCAGGACTGCAGCAGCACCATTTTAAGTTTTAACACATCCCAGCGAAGGAGGAAGGGCGGGAAATGCAGAGCACTCTTGTAATGTAATGGTAAATCGTTGATATATAGAGTGGATTGATGGGTCAGTGAATTGAGAAATTGGCAGCGGCAATAAACTGCGACCCTACTGTTGTGTCCTTGTCTCTGTCAACTCTGATGCTGACTTCTCCACCGATGCCTTTTTCCGTTAAGTCCCCTTCACCGGATCCTCCCTTTTAATTCCCATTCCCATCCCCCCAATATTCCCTTTGTTATAAAAACCCTTTTGAGCAGAGCACAGTGAGTAAAGGGTCAAACAACAATGGGATTGTCAAGCCCCCTCCCACCTCCAGAATCCATTATCGTCAGACACCCATCCAGTCGTATCTCCTCCGAAAACCCAAGATTTTTCTTGGAAGCTGCAAATTTTGGTGATGAATATTTCGTGCTCTCGTCCATTTAATTGTTAACATATACTTATATTTGATATTTGGACTTAATTTCGGGAAGTGGAGCAAAAAAATACAAAAAAAATGAGAGACCATCTTGAGAAAAAGACTCCACACGTGGGAGGCTTCAAATAATCCACAAACTTGGCCCACATGGTGCTACAAAATGGACTTCATTTCCTTTTTGCTGATCAGCAGTTGACTTGTACTAGTTAGTCTACTAGCAATAGAAAACGAAATAGAAGGGAACTTAGGTAGTGCTGGAACCTTTTCTGGTACTCTTTCTTTCCTTATTTTGGGGGGACCACGTAGGAAGAAAAAGGGGGTCATTGTTTGGAGATAGGACAGTTTTTCGTTCTGGCATTTTCATGTGTTTCCTTCTGTTCGACACTAGTCCTGACTAGAGAAATAGTTTTTACTTCTTGATTATTTAGTAAAAAACATGACGCCTTGGAATTCAATTAAATTGCGTGAACATTTTCTTATGCCGCGTGGCTAAACTTTTCATCTAGTCAAGGATCAATGCGACGACGCAGTCCCGAATATTTGTGAGATCGAATTAGTTTTCATGCGTTCTTTAATTTGCTAATATTTGCATGTTGTCTACTTGAATTTTCGTGGGATTATTTTGTTAATTGGATGTCAAGGGTCCGATGTTTGATGTGACTTATTAGTCTCCTGCCAAAATAGTCAATTAAATCCGTAATTGTTTAATCGATTAACATCAATGGCAACTAGCGTTTTTACACGCTAGGAGAACGTGCAATCTAATTTAGATAACCCTCGTACTGTGTTATTGATCGGGGTTAGGTTTTTTAGTTTTTAATGCAATTGGGGAATTAATTCCTACTGTCGTATCTAGTAGTATTTTCTGGTTAGGGGTAATCAATGGTCGTACCTTGGTTATCAATAAATTAAGGAAAAATTGGTTGTCAGAGCTCGTTGGCGAATATAACTAACCTATTAATAAATTGAGTGAACCTCCTTTGCATCAATGATCGGATGAGCGAACTGTGTCTGAGATGTTGCATCCTTGGCTAGAGTTTACCTTTTATTGATTTAATTGCTATCTACAGTTGTTTTAGTTAATTGTTTGTTTTTGGTTGAATTGTTTAATTGCTTTTATTCTTATTTCGACAAGAATCCCCCATTGCCAATTGGAATTTCAAAGAGACAAATAGACCCAGTCCCTGAGGAGACGACCCTACTTGCTACTGTCTATTTGTTAGTAAAGTTTGTCAGCTAATTAATTCTGATGTATCGGATTAAGCAAACTCTTCGAGAACAGGGTGAATCAAGTAACCCATTGCACACTTAGAGTCCCTGCTCCAGTACCTAAAATTAATTATTGACTGTTTTTAGCGGTAGTTAGGTTTTATTATTATTATTGCACAGGTTCGGCACTTGTCAAGGACAAAAGTTGCATTGCTTGGCTCGAAAAGCAACCTCCAAATTCACTGCTCTATATAAGCTTAGGCAGCATAGCATGCGTAAAAGAACCAGAGCTAACAGAAACAGCTTGGGGTCTAGCAAACAGTGGTATTCCATTTATATGGGTTCTTAGATCAGATTCTATAGATGGATCTCAGATGGAAGATCACTTTCCTGAGGGCGTCAAAGCATTACTAGGAGAAAGAGGCCTAATAGTCAAATTGCTACGGAGAAGACCACTTTCACGTGCCCGTTTGGAACGTTTGCATACAAACGAAAGCCGTTTGGGTTGTGTAATGCGCTTGCTATTTTCCGAAGATGCACGGTAAGTATTTTTTCAAAATATGTTGAGAAGATTATTGAGGTTTTCATGGACGATTTCAATGTGTACAGTGAAAATTTTGATAACTGTTTAGATAATCTGAAATTAATTTTAGTAAGGTGTATAGAATCTAATCTCGTGCTTAATTGAAAAAAATATCACTTTATGGTCGAACACGGGATAGTTTTTGGTCATGTAGTGTCGTCTAGGGGTATTGAGATTGATAAGGCAAAAATAGACGTTATATCTACTTTACCTTACTCCGCGAATGTGCGGGAAGTGCATTTTTTCTTGGGTCATGCAGGTCTCTATCGAAGGTTTATTAAAGACTTCTCAAAAATTGGAGTACCATTGTTCCAACTTTTGTAAAAAGAGGTGCCCTTCACATTCGATGAAGCATGTAAGGGGGCATTTGATAGGTTGAAGGATTTATTGATCTCGCCACCTATTATCCAACCTCCTGACTGGAACCTACCATTCGATATCATGTACGATGCCAGCGATTATGCAGTAGGTGTGGTGCTCGGTCAAAAGGTAGGAAAAACAGCCCATGCTATCTACTACCTATCCCAAGCCTTGAACGAAGTTTAATTGAACTATTCAACCACCGAAAAGGAACTCTTGGCGGTTGTTTTTGCTTTAGAGAAATTCTGATCTTATTTACTAGGTGCTAAAGTTATTGTCTTTTCTGATCATGCAGCGTTACGGTATCTATTGGTCCAGAAAGATGTAAAATCGCAACTGATAAGGTGGATATTATTGGTACAAAAGTTCGACCTGGAGATCAGAGATAAGAACGGGGCGGAGAACCTGGTAGCAGATCACTTGAGTCAAGTACAAGTCGGCGAAAACGACCTCCCACTGAGAGAAGCATTCCCAGATGAGTATTTATTTTCTATTAATTTATCTTTGTCTTGGTATGCGGATATTATTAACTTTCTAGTCAATGGCAAGTTCCCTGCAGGATGGCCTAAGGCGAAGAAGGACAAGTTGAGGAGTGATGCAAAGTCCTACATTTAGGATGATCCTTACCTCTGGAAGCGTGGTGCCGACCAAGTCATCCAAAGATATGTAAGTGAGGATGAATTCCAATCTATCCTAACCTATTGTCATTCTTTTGCATGTGTAGGTCATTTCGAACCAAAGAGAACGGCTCGTAAAGTGTTAGAGAGTAGGTAGTCTTTCTCGTAGGGATTAAATGACCCAAACTCCAATGATTTTCGTTGAAATTTTGACATTTGGGGTATTGACTTTATGGGTTCTTTTCCTTTGTCTTTTGGTTTTCTATATATATTGCTTGCCATAGACTATGTCTCAAAATGGGTGGAAGTAAATGCCATCCGTACTAATGATTCCAAAGTGGTTGCAAAATTCGTCAAGTCTAACATCCACTTTGGGATGCCGCGAGCGATTGTAAGTGATCGTGGTAGCCATTTTTACAACAAGGCGATCGCGGCAGTTTTTAGGAGATACGGTGTCTTACATAAAACTTCCACATCCTACTATCTTCAAATAAACGGTCAGGCGGAAGCATCGAATCGAAAAATCAAGTCGATTCTAGAGAAAATGGTCCGACCCGATAGGAAGGATTAGAGTATGAGACTAGAAGATGCATTATAGGCATATAGGACGGCGTACAAGACACCCATTGGCATGTCCCCTTATCGGTTGGTATTTGGGAAGCCATGTCACCTCTCAGTCGAGTTCGAGCATAGAGCGTTTTGGGTGGTCAAACAATGCAATATAGACATCGAGGAGGGAGGAATTCAAAGGAAGTTGCAGTTACAAGAGTTGGAGGAAATTCGAAATGAAACATATGAGAATGTTGTGATCTATAAGGAGAAAAATAAGATCTTTCATGACCAACGGATCTCTAGAAAGACGTTCGTCTGTGGGTAAAAAGTTCTATTGTACCACTCGAAATGGATGTTATTTTCAGGTAAATTACATTCTTGTTGGATCGGTCCTTTTGTTGTGACTAATGTCTTTCACTATGATACAATGGAGATCAAAAGCTAGAAGACGGAGAAGAAATTTATGGTGAATGGTCATCGTCTCAAGCCATATTATGAAAGATTTTCAGTGGAACGGGTAGAGATGATACAATAGGAAGACCTGACTTGCTTAGTTTAAGCAAATTCTGGACTACGTCTAGTCAAAGACATTAAAGAAAGGCGCTTTTGGGAGGCAACCCAAATATTGGTTTTGTTATTTTTTATTGTTCAATTCTTTAAATATGTCGTTTCTCACTTGGGTGCCGATTAATCTTGATATTTTCCTCTACTGTGATCAGAACAGGTATTCTTGGCATGCCCACACAAGAAGGGCACGCGTTAATCCTATAAACCCCAACCTTATGGTCAGTGGATGTTTACCAATTTTGGCGTGCCCACGCCATGTTGGTAAAACCTCAGCATTTCGCGACATTGACAGAAAGTGGAATCTTGGGGTGCCCACGCGAGGAGGGCACGCGTTAAATTGCGAAAAGTGACTCCCATGGTCAGTGGACGTTTTCCAATCTTGGCGTGCCCACCCCATGTTTGACGATCCAAAAAAATTTAATAACAATATTTTCCGTTTTAACCTTCAGTTGTTTTGTTCGAATTTTAAAATTTCAATTCAATTCGAAAAGAAAAAAAAACACCCCAACAAACCATTTTTTTTCCTCTTCTTTCTTTTTTTTTCCTTCTTCGGCCGAAATCCCTAGCCGCCGCCGCTGTCTACCATCTCTCTCTCTCAATCTCACTCTCAACCGCGCCACCCACCACGCGCGACGCCCCCTCCTCCTCTCTTCCATCGTGCGTCGCCTCCACCTGCGCGCTCCGCGCTCTTTCCCTCTCTCTCGTTCAGCCCACAGTGGTGAGACGCCCTCCACAGCCACGCGACGCAGACGCCACGCTTCCTCTCAACCAAGCGCCGCCCCTCCAGCCAACATCTTCCCTCGAGACCGCCGAGTTCAGCACTCCACTGCCGCCAACACGCATGCCAGCGAGCAACCCCAACCGCTGTCGCGCCGCCACCATTCGTCTCCGCCACCACGCTGTAGCTACCTGTCAATTCTTGACAGGTAGAGGTATTGAGATTTCTACATCGTTAGTTAATTTTTTGGATATTTTATTTCTGGAATTTGTTGCTACATTCTTAATTGGCCGAACTACATTGCACTGGTGGGGGTGATTTACTTGATTTTTGATGGGTTGGTTCGTTTGGGACTTCTATTGCCTCCTTGGGGTTGATTTTTTCTGGAACCTCTGACAGTTATTTTATTTGGGAGTTATTTGAAGTTGATTTGGGTGTTTGCTGATTCTATTGGAGATTTTGTTGCGATTTTGGGTCGGAAATTTGTTTGCTGATTCTATTGCACCTTTTGTTGCGATTTCCAAGAGGATTTTGTTATTGATTTAATTTTTTTATAACCTTTGCCATTATTAAAACTGCTATTTTGTTGGGGCGTTTGCTGGTTTGATAGTCTGATAATGTGTACATTTCATTATCATCTTGGGCGACCCTATTTTTTTCAAGTGTTTACTAGCGTTGTTGAATATATATGCCATCCCTGGGTTGTTTCCCTCATTTATTCAACGTTTTCTACTTCTCTGTTGCCCTCTATTGGATATTGGAATTTCTGTTGTTTGTCTAGTAGTGACCATGGTGCTACCCAAATCCTCTTCTAGATCTAGGACATCTAGAACCTCCTAGCCTCTCCCATCTCAACCCACCATTCCCGCTTCTGACCTCTCGTATGACCCTTCTTCCTCTGGGAGGAGAGCTCGCCTTGGGAGGCCAAGAGGCGTTCATATTTCTGACTCTTCGCATTTTGGGGGTAATTTGAAGTTCACCAAGGCCGTCGACAAGCAGCGATATGCTGTTTGTTATGAACGGCGGATTACTCCCTGCCGATATCGGGACGCCACCTTTTTGGATCTTCTGAATATTAGGGTTGACTTTGATCGCTTGATCCGGGCCATTGGGTGGCATCCCTACACTTATATTGTTGACTGTCCGGCATTTGTTAAGTTGGTTTGGGAGTTTTATGTCATATTCGAGTTCGACCTTCTCACCGGTTGTACAGTCTCTACCTCCAACGTCATCCGTTTTCGCTTAATGGGTCAAGAGTTCCACCATTCCATTAATGATTTTAATCTTGTCTTTGGTTTTATTGATTAGGCCTATGCCGAATCTCGTGAATATGCCGAGAGCGCTTGTGACTACGTGGAGCGCTTTTTCTCCCGCTATCGATATATTTGGGAGGATATGTCTGTAGACCGTGCTGAATACGTCCCTCGTCAGTCTAAAAGTTCCTATCTAAAGGACCCGACGTCTAGCTATATCCAGCGTTTCTTGGCCTATAATTTCTAGGGTAGGTGAGATAGTTCGGGCATTTTGTCTAAATCAGAATTTTTCTTCATTTAGAGCATGCACAACAATATTAAGGTTAATTTGAGGTGCTGGCTTGCTTCTCAATTCAAATCTGTTTTGACTAAAAAGAAGCGTCCCTTGATTCTTGGGTTCTACATTACCCACTTGGCTATTAATTTGCATGTGCTTGATCTCTCTAACCATGATTTGCATGTAACTTGTCAAATGAAGCACTTAGACATTCCTTGCTTAGACAAAATGGGATTGGTTCGGGAGGGTGACAATGGGTGGGAGGTTACTCCTCCGGGACCGACTCGTGTCCTCCCTCGTTCCTCTTTTGCCCGTTCCTCCACTATTGGCGGTGACCCCGACCTGTCTACCTCCGCTCCACCCCCAGGGGCTGATGATTGGAACGAGTTCCGGGTGCAGGTTGACATTTTGGATACTCGGGTGACCAATATTGACGCCAATGTGGCCAACATTGCCCAGAATCTGGCAGCCTTTATGCAGCACGCGGGTTTTCCTCCTCCTTTTGCGCCTCGCCCGTCGATGTGACCCCAGCCCGGTCCCTGTAATTTCAAGAAAATTCCATTGCCCTTCTCCTTACTTTTGTTGTTTATTTGTTACATTGAGAGCAATGTGTCATTTAGGTGTGGGAAGGGGGATCAGCTGTGGTGCTAGTTTTTCTAATTTTTAGCTTTCAGATGTTTTTCTTTTACTTTTAGTTTGTTATTTGTCTAGTTTTCGTTTACTTTTTTTTAGTGATCAGCTCTCCTATGACTGCCAAGGTTTGATGTTGGATTGTGACTCTAATTCTACTATTGCCGAGTTTTAGTAACAAAAGTGTATCTAACTAATGTGATTGAGTTCAAGAACATCTTTTTGGTGAATATCGGTGATTGCTTGACTCTTATGATTTTTGGTTAACTTTTCTAGGCATAGAGAAATGATTGTTGGCATTTTCATATGAATTGGTTCGGTTATTAACTTTAGTTGTCCATGTTTGAAGAAATGAGGCTAGCGGCTGCTGTTTTGGTTTTCTTTTACTGTATTATTTTGAGTTATTGTGTTATCTGACTGTGAATAAAAGTTGACTGTGCTCCACTAGTTGTTACTACTGAGTAACCGGGGATCTTCACTTAAAGTGTCAATTCTCGAGTCAAAAAGTAGTAATTTCTATGAGTACATGATCTCATAGCGACCGGAACTGAGTAACCGGGCTCCTCCATCTGGCAAATGTTGAAATTCGCGTCAAAAGGCTCTAATGGCTAGTGACTAAGTCTTTTGTGACTATCGAAAAAAAAGAGAAAAAAAAGAGAAAAATAGAAAACCATGATAAAAAGGGGAAGATTGTGTTAGTGTGTGAAAAAAAGTCAGCTTGCCGATTTGTGGATTTAATGTTGGGATTTTGGTTAATAGTTGGACCATTTGCTGGTAATGTTGAGCGACCATTCCTTTTTCTTAGATTAGTTAACTTGAAATTGGAGGAGTTTGTGGTTTCGAAACTAACCGGGGTGATGTTTCTTGGATCTTGGTCACTGATGCTTAATATATGTTTTTTTTGGTATTTTGGCAATATGATAGATGGAGCAGTACCCATTGTCGAATATTGGTGTTTGTTTGTCGTCCCCATGCTTGAGGACAAACATCATTTACGTGTG